TGGCGTGCTAGCGCACGGCCTGCGCCACGCGGACCACACGCTGCACGCGCTCGCCGACATACTGCACGCGTTCCAGCTGCACGCCGATAACGATGCAGTCAGTATATTAGGTTACAGTACTTATGTTCTTTAATTAATTCTACTACAAAATATGATTTACGACTATTTTTTTTAGATCGACTTTGGAAATCAAATCTATTTATCACTGCTGCTAGCCGAAGATCAAATGATAAGTTTCGGTACTAAAGCGGCACTTATGAGAGTCCTACGACCTCGAGTCAAGAGACGGCGTGTGTACATACCTTCACCGCCTAATACACCAGGTAACAACATTTTCAATAAAACTGAAGAAGTAAAGATTGCTTTTTCGATATTTTATATTTATATGTCGTTTAACATTCAGGTGCTACTTCCTCGGTGACAACTGCGCCGCCCGCCAGCTCTACCGCGGAAGCCGTGGCCTCAGAGTCCGATGTGAGCACAGCGCGCGACGACCAGCAAGAGAACCAATTTATGGATGTTGATGACGCCCTCGAACCAATGGTGTTGCTCGCACCCGATGGAGGTAGTAGTACTTATTACATATAGAAGCAACGTTAGAAATAGAATTTGACACTTATATCAAATAGTGTGTGGAATGTGGTTGCAATGTAATGTATGAATGTCGTAGGTCTAGAGGCGTTACTGGACATCCCAGCGGACGCGGACGACGAGACGATGGTGCAGCTGGCCATCGCGCTGTCGCTGCAGGAGCAGCCGCGCCGCGCGCCGCCCGCGCCCTCCGCTCCGCCGCCGCCCGCCCCCGGCTTCAGCGACGTCACCGCCTCGCCCACTGGGTACGTTGTACTTTTTTCTATACGATATCTTTTGTATTAACCTGCAATCTGTGTTGTATAGTTATAGTTATTGTAACATATACGGTGTTTGTAGATCTGACGATGAGGGCAGTACTGCGGCGACAGACGGCAGCACGCTGCGCACGTCTCCCGCCGAGCCGCCGGGCTCAGC